CGCAGGGGGATATGCCAATTGACGTGTGGGATTCGAGTCCAGATTTTGGTTCGTCATAAGAGCTTCCAGCACGTCGAGGCGCGCACGGGTTTCTCTCATCGCAAAGTCTTCGCCTTCTGGCTGTGCTCCGTTGGTGCTTGGAAGGGTTTGCTTGCACGTACTCAACAAGTGCCATAATAAGCGAGCCTCTTGACTAAAGACGCCGGTCATGTCGGTGTCGGCGGTAGCCTTGTACTTGATGGTCTCGGTGAAGAAAGCGGCCTCTTCATGTAGGGAGCGGTCGCTAAAGACTCTGTTGAGAGCGTTGTTGTTCGTCGAGAACCAGTTGGTCTCAAGTACGAGGTCCAGCCCTTGGCAGTAGTCGTTGATGAAGATGCGGGAGAACTCGTCGTCGATTTCCCGGGGCACCGGTGAGGTCCGCTGAGGAACCTCGGGCGGGCTGTGGTTGCAGATGCCAAAGATGTCTTGGATATTCAACCGCTTGCCTGAATCTGGGTTAGGACTGTGATGGCGATATGGAGCAGGATACCAACCTTTCATGGGCTCTGGCGGAGGCGGGTGGTAGCTGGCGCCTGGAGGCCCTCTCATGTTGGGATCCATGGGGTGCACACCGTTGTAATGTTGGGGTGGCTGTAGATTGGGATCGGCTTGCGCCAGTGCAGGGTCTATGGCGTGGAAGTTGCCTTGCTGGTGTTCGCCACTCGTAGCAGGAGCGGCAGTCGCGTACCCCGCGGACGAGGCAGGCGCGTACCCTTGGGGTACCGGACTTTGGCTGTAGTTGGAGGAGGAAGGTGCGGGCGCCGGTGCGCTTGTCGCGTGGGGTGCGGGCGCGGAGTTGGGAGCAGGTTGTATTTGGGCGGGACCAGATTGCTGCTTGAAAATCGGGTCGTAACCCAAGCACTCTCGTTTGCTCTTCTGGCAGTTCCGGCACATGGGGTGGGCTTCGTCGCACTGTCGGGGTGGTGGTTAGCGCATGAGCAGGTGAGTAGTGATGTTGGTGCGCGATGCAGAAAATTTGCCAGAAATCGGCGCAGCTGTATTTGCAGCCCGCAACGGCGATGTTGCGAGGCAAAGTGCTGCAGCCCACTGACTAACAGTGTTGCTGCACAGCCGGTCGCTTCTGACACGCGAGAGGTTGGATTAGAGGAGTTTGGGTTCCTCGCTCGGTTAAGCAAGCGACAAGCAATAGCTCCTCTGACATCGCGTCGCGTCTGCACCGCGTTCCATTGACGTATGCACTCACCTTTATTCTCCGTTTGCGACATGTCAGACAGCCAGTCTTGGTGCGACGCTTGATCTCCTTCTTATGGCGACCACCAGACAGCACTCGCTGGTCGCCCTGCGGCGGCAGCTGGTATCGCATGGCATTGAATTGCGGGCCCATGTTGCCCATCATGGGCGGGCCTTGCTGCGCATGCGCTGGGTGCGGATAGTACTGCGGCATACCGTGCTGCGGCGGCGGGAGCGGAGAGCCCATGGGCTGGGGCGGCTGCTGAGGTTGCGCCTGGGGCTGCTGGCCGTCCTGCAGACGTATTGGCGGCAGATTGAGGGGCGGCAGCGACATGTTGGCGCCCTGGGGAGAGCTGCGGTAGCCATCGTTGCTCTGCTGGCCTTGGGGCGGCGGGTAGGTATACGTGGGCTGCATCGAGGGCGACGGGTACGAGTGCGGTGAGGGATAGGCGACGGCCTGCTGCTGGCGCGACTGCATGTTAGGATCGGCCATGCTCTGGTGGGAAAAGTGCGAAGGGGCCGGCGAGTAGGGCGCCTGGGAGATGTGGGTGGAAAAGTCGTGCGACATGGGCTAGCAATGGAGTCTGCCACCGGGGCGCTCTTCAGTTCTTGGGGATGTCTTGAAGAGCACGGCGGCGCTAGAAAGCTTGAGGCGGATGGGAAGAGGGACGGCAAGCCTGGCAAGGAACTGGGATTAGCTGAGTTGGCGAAGGCGTTATGACCCGCGGAACAGGGGCCTGGCCTCGCTCGGTTCGACGCCGCCGCGCTGCACGTAGTTGTGCGTGCACTACATAGATTGGGGATAACAAATACGTGAACGACTCAAAGACTAACAAAGTTCAGGGAATGAAAGTGAGAAGGGCTGAATTATGATAGATGGGGAAGGATGAGGAAGATGAAGACCTGGCATGCCAGCTGCCGCTCCCCTCAATGCATCGCGCGCGATATCCCTCACTCATCTCGTCCGTCTAGGAGGCAGCGAGTGGACTCTGTGGAGGGTGGGCTGCAGCTGGCTAGCCGCCTTTAGCAGGTAATGAGGGCGCATGTGGCAGTGCCATGAAGGAATCAACCGACTTTACTTACAAGCTGCCTACAAGCGAGTCTCGCTTGAGCGGAAGGTAGCGAACAGGGTATTGCTGTCCGACGGGCTAGCGACGCGCGACGATGAGCTGGCCGAGGAGAGCGGCGGCAGAGGAGCAATTCTAGCGACGAGAAAGCGGCAGGCCAATGCAGCCAGAGCAATCGGGCATTTCTTCAGCAAAAGGCTAAAGGCGCAGACCGCTTCCCAGCGCAAAAAGAACTTCAGCATGCCAGGGCCGCTAGCCTGCATCGGGCCAATCACGTGCCGCTCTGCGCTGCGCACTGGGGCCCGCCACACTGTTCTTCCTGCAATCAGCGTCGTCCCGTCCGCTGCTGCACCTCTCTATTGCCCATTACCCAAGTACCTTACTGAGCCGAGCCTCGTGCGGCGTGCAGCGACATTCCACCCGCTTAGACACACCATGCAGCCGCCCATACCACCCACACTGCACCGTTTGCGTTGCTCAACCCTCATCCGACGGACTGGCAGAATTTGATTAAGGCTGATTGCGCAGTACCTGGGTCCCGGTCCAGCCGGCGCGAGCGGCATCTCTTCGAGAACACCTCCCTCTTGCACCCTCTGCACCCTCACTGCTCGCTTAGCTATCGGTGGCTTGCTCCTGCATCGTCACGACGAACCATTCTGTGCCTGCTTGCACATCTCTGATGCCGCGTATTCTTAGCCTGCCCTTATTTCACTGCCCATTTCACTGCGCAATCCTTTGCTCCCACTGCGGGTGACGTAGCTGCTCCCGATGTGACAATCGTGCAATGGTGCGCTGTCCAACGATCAAGCACACGAGCATTCGATCTCCAGACTGCGTCTTACGGGCCGGTTTCCCTTCCAGGGTGGCCAGCGGCGCGCCTCGTCCTATCTAAAGCGCGCGCTGACATCAACTTCCGCCTGTCCAATTCAATCTCCCTGCCTATTTACCCGCAATGGGCATATCGCAAGGGCGGCTTCCATTGCCAGCCACAACGCCGTATCTGAAGACATCTGGCGGATTCCTCCATGGGTTATCTGCGGGTAAATAAACGCATATCGGGTTAAGCCATTGCCTGCTACAGCTGAGTGTGACCAACCTGTAGGAGGTGCATCACCGGCAAGACTTGTCCTTCCGTCTGGGTAGCACTAGGAGGCCGCCAACACGTGTCGAGATATCTACTGGACACCTCACCATTGTCGCCGAACAACCTTCGCGCCAAACAAGCTGGTTGGACTTTGCGATGCGACATGCGATGCGACAGGCGATGCTGCATTGCGAATCCCTTGTCCAATGTTGCACAAGCAAAGACCCTGGTCCTAGGGCTGACAAGGTGCATCTAACAGGCCGCTACCAGTGCGCGCGCAGGGAAGTCTGCACTCGGTGCGACCAAGAACACAGCGCCAGAGAAGCCTGTGGAACACTGCTAATTGTCGTTCGTTCGCAAAGTGTCTTTCGCGGGCGCCCGCTGAGACATGGTAAGATCTCGTCTATCGCAGTGCACAGAAAAAGCCAGGTCAGGGATACCCCCGCACACGAAAGCATCGAACGCTTCTCGAACAAAGTTGAACGCCAACCGAGCGAGCTTTGCGCATCATCCTTCCGCCCCGCTCTCGCCTACAGACCGCCTGAAGCGACAGGTGTCTTGATCATCGCTGCAATACGAGATGCATCGGGCTTTGCAAGGGATGGCTTTTCCCTTGCTGAGTAGGATTTTGCACAATAACCTTTTCGATTGTCATGCCTGATCTCACAACAATGGCTGAGTCGTGCGTTGGCCACTTCTTACCCAAAGCTGCAGACCCTGAATAAGTTCACGCCATTGAGTTCACACTAAATATTGCTGTCGCGAACCGACTCGGCTTTACCCTGGAGTATCCCAGAATCTTGAGTAGGGATAGTCAGCAGCACAGACGTCGGCCAAGCGATATCCACGGTGTAGGAATCGGCGCGTTGCTCGTCCATTCCATAATCATGGTCGCGCACTCTGACCACCTCGACACCAACTTCAAGCTGTGTGAACCTGAGTCATCTCGAACACCGAAAATTTCCGTAGTTCAAGGACGCTGGAAATTTCCGATACTTCTGCGGTTCATGAATATCATTCTGATCTGCCAGTACTACACGTTCACAAGAACCAGGCAACAGCTTTTCTGAGTGCGTTAGAGCCACATTGTAAGTAAGGCGATTTCACACGCGGCGACGATATGATGAGCAACCACAGTTTGAACATGCAATGGAAACCCATGGTTTGTGGTGCATCCAAAGAGTCATGGAATTAAGGGTCGTCGTGCATGCGAGGGCGTTGAGAGGCAGGCTTAGCGTACGGAAAGGGCTGATGCTATCATCGCAAGAGTTGGGAACCAAGGTAGGTGAACACAAACTACTGTGTCTACTTCGATTTTGTAAAACCTCGTAAGTTCTGACTGGCACGTATCTCTCCAATATGAAATTGTTGATTCGCCCTTTTTTTTGTGGTACTTTGGTTGTCGTGGCCTCCACCTTCAGGCTGCCATTTCGGTACCGTGGGACGCACCACAGCAGAATTATACAAAATAAGGGGACACATCCTCTATCTTCAACTTTTTCAAATCCTCGCTCGGTCTTCATCTTGTGCACACTGACTACTGACTACCACCTTGTCCAACCGGCACTCCACCCCAACTTTTTCAGCTCGTCCAACTTCCACACATACCAACCGTCAACATGTCCACACCACTAGACCAACAAAAAGAGGCCGCCTACACCCTGCTCTCTGGTATGCTCACAAGCGTCCTACAAAAAGAGTGGAAAATAACAGACCGCCATTCGGCACAGTCGTCCGCCCTCCTCGACGTACTACTCCTCCCCAAGCCCGCGCCAGCCCCAACCCCAGCTCCCATCGCCCCCACCCCCATTAAGAAACAAGGCATCTTTCGCCTAGGCAGCCGTACATTCGACCTCGGCCCCGAACGCGATTCTGAAGCCAGTTCCTCCGACGATGACGACGCTCCGATCAGGAGTGTAAGACGGTTGAAGAGTGAGATGCGCAGGGTTAATACGATTCAGCGGCGTGCGAAGAGGAGGGCGGAGAGGTGTCTGAGGAGGATTGAGGCGCATCTTGGTGGGAATGAGGGTGTTGTTGAGTTTGAGACTGTGAAGACTACGAAGAGTGTTGCGGATACCCCGGGGAGGATGTTGAAAGAGCTTGAGGATTACAATAGTCCTGCGCGTAGCAGTCCGCTCAGCTCTGCGCCCATGTCGCCGCGAAGTGCTGAGTTCAGTTCGACGGGCAGCGAGGGCAACCGCGAGGTTGAGGAATACGACAGTGTCGACAGCCCTATGTCAGAACCCGTACAGGCACCCAGGCGACTACAGCGCGCGGAGCCTCACATCAAGTATGTCAAGCCGGCATCTAGCCAGCGACGCAGCCTTGCACAAAAAGATTACCTAGGGCGACCACAGCGCCACTGCAGCGACTGCGACCGTACGTTACTGGCCTCCCACTGGACATGCCACGTCAAAGGCCGAATGCATCAAGACAATGCAGCTCGGGACAAGCAATCCCCTCCGGTACAGGGCACGAAGACTAGACAAGAGTATATGCGGGCCTTGAAGCAGTATTGCGTGTACTGTGACCGCCAGGTCCATTCGAGGGGCTGGGGCGGCCATTTGAAGGCAAGAGCGCATTTGGAGAATGTGGCGAAGGCGAAAGAGGAGGAAGAGAGTGTGAGGCTTCACGCACCGACACCGGAGTCCGTCGTGCTGTCCGTAGAAGAGGAAGAGCAGAAAGAGAAAGAGGAGGAATATGAAGATGATGGCTTCGGCGAAGAAGGATACGAATATGGTCACTATTGCGATGACTGCGAGGTCACGTTCGCTGGTGCGAACTGGGCGCGGCATTTGGCTTCCGCAGGCCACGTGTTTAATGTCATTAAAAACTCTCCGGGGGATGAGGATATGACGTCCGATGAGGAAGAGGAGGAGGAAGAAGAGGAAGAGGAGGAAAGCATGGCAGACTATGATTCTGCCACTGATGAGGAGAGCATCGTGTATGATGATGCCACGGATGAGGACTCTGCGTCGCCATCGCCCTCGCCATCGATCTCACTCTCGCCCTCACCTTCCTCCGCCGTCCCCAAAGAGGGAATCACATTCTCCCACGACGGGACACCGGTTGCCGACCTCGCATCGACCCCCTTCCTCACATCTTCGCCCACCTCCCCCGCTTCCCTCGCTTCCTCGTCCCCTTCCACACTTGCGGAATTTAATTCAGGAGTGAATTTTTACTGCGAGACCTGCAGGGTCACCATTTTGTCTGCGGATGCTTGGGAGATTGATGAGCATGTGGCTGATCATGCGTATGCAGCTTCCGAGAAGGAAGAGGTGGTGGGGATGGATTGGCTGAGTCAGCTGAGGGAGGCTGCTGGGTGGGTGAAGGAGGTGGAGGTGGAGGATATGGAGGGGGTAGGGGAAGTGGAGCAGGGTAGCACGGAATGTGAATACAATGGGTGGGCATGGAAGATGGGAGTGGATGGTAAAGTGCTGGGGAGTATACGGCGTAGTCCGTCATGTTAGAGGTCGAGCGTGGATGGATATGTATCCGCCAAGATACCCTCTCGATTTGTGTAACTTGCGGAGGAGCGTAGTTGTAGTCTACTGAGATATTTCCAGCATCGTATTTCACCATGATACAAACATAATTTGATGAGCATAACCATATTGCACTTTCACTATCTGACTATCCCTGCAACGTCCTAACGCAAGGTATCGAGAGTATCCCACAATGAAACGCCGCCCAATGCACTCGCACTCACTGCAATGCCACGAAAACGCCATATATGCTGACCAGATACCATATTACCCCCACAACTATAAAAGCCAAGACGACCAACTAAGAATCCGTCTTGGGCTTCTTGTTCGGCAGCGCTGGCACCTTGAAACCACCAGCATCCACCTTCGAGCTACCATTGAGCTGCGTGAACGAACCGCCCTTGAACCACCTATCCTCGTCTGCCTTCCTCTTACGGTTGGCTTCCTCTCGCGCCTTGGGATCGACCAACTCGAGACCTTGGACAGGTGTGAACGCGATGGAGTTCGTTCCCGCGCCGCCAAGACCCACACCACCGGTTCGTAGGCCTTGTGCACGTAGACTGGTCGCCGTACCGCTTCCGCCAAAGCCTTTGAGAGACGAAGCTGCACCGAGTGTGGTGTCAGTGCCCCAGCCGGGGTTCTTCTTGCTAAGTTTAGCGCGCGTCTTGGGGTCGATTTGTTGCGCGCGGAGTCGTCCAGTGTCTGTGGCTCCAATCATGCCCATGCCTGCTACGGAGTCGCCATATCCGACTTCCTTCTCTTCTTTGCCGAAAGTCATCCGGTTCTGGGCCTTGCGTATTTCGGTCATTGCTGTTGCCTCCTTGGCCTTGCGGGCTCTCCTTCCACCTCTCTTGCGGGACGGCTTCTCATCGGGTACGGGAAGGGCCCTTCCTCCGGCCTTTTGGTTCGCTGGCATTTCGACCAACTTGTCTAAGCGACGCTCACACTCTTTCCTCAGGTCCATACCTATATCGGCAGTGCCGGAGTTCGAATGGGCGTCCACACGCGCGGCGAGAATGACCTTGGCCGCCACAATACGTAGCGCTTGCTTCCTGAGATCCGGTCTTTGGTTCTGGATAATGTCGCTGTGGTAAAGGTAACCCTCGTGCCTCAGACCCATGTTCGACAGTCCGACGGTAGCGCCAGAGACTTTGGTCGAACCTAGAGGTGCGATATTGCAAGCGGGAGTCTTGGCTAGGTTCGCGATACCGCCCGAGTATGAGATGAGATGAGCAGCCGTCAAACTACCAATCAAGGCAGTCAAGTTGGGCGCAAACAATTCAGTTCTGGATTCAACGAAGCCCAGAATCTTGGACTTGGCGGCGTGTAGCTCGAGCAGCAGATGGCATGCGTTTGACACCAGGTCCAGCTCGGATTGTTCAAGAAGTCTCCCTTCCACACGTGTGGCTTCTATCTCGACAATCATGACCTGGGCAGGTTCCATTCCTTCGATTTGCCTCAGCTTGGGGCTAATATCTTTGATGCTGGACAAAGGTCCGCCGCCGATGACCAAACATGCTTTGGCGTAGACGACAGGGTTCTTGATCAGGTCCTCCAAATGGGGGAAGAAGGCCGAGTAATGGTCGCGAATAAACTTGTGGACGCTAGCAGTCTCGCCATCGATCTGTGTGGAGAACTCGTTGGCTTCTGTGAGGAGTTGGTACTCGGGAGATTCTTCAAACGATTCGCCCTCGACTATGTCCATCTGGTCCTTAGCCTCTTCGATGCGCTTGAGGACGGGGTCCAGGTTCGCCTTGAGCTGATGCGCGGACCGGATGTCGGCTGGGCCCTTGTTTTCCTTGTCCTTGTCCTGCTGCTTCTCGCGATATTGCGCCTCCTCGTCGATCATCTCATCGTCGTCGCCAGAACCCTCGGCGAAGTCATTCTCCAGATCTTGGACATCCTCATCACCACTGTCTGCGAAGTCTGCCAGCAGCTCTTGCTCGAGAGTCGCCATGGCAGAATGTAGGCTGGGGGTATTCGGGGTATGTGCGGTTGAGCGTCGCTACCAGGCAGGAGCAGTCGAGGGTATCGAAGAAGTCGCGACGGCGGCCAGAGGTTACCCTCCTAGTGGATATCGGTTGAGTGCTGAGTTCGGGATCGTTGGTATACTACGTACCTGTTGCCTGGGATGGCCGCCGGTCGAGTTGTGAATGCGCGCGGGTGAGTGTCGTGGGGAGAGAGAAGTTGCGCCGGCAGTGACGTGAAAGTGCTAATTGCTTGGCGTGCAGCGGATAAAAGTTGCGCTAAGGCAGTCGCGTTCTCACGTTACAGAATAATCTTGTCGCATCGCAGAACGACGACCTACATACCACAATTGCGATCGCCAAGCTATTGTACCGTAGTCGTACTGCGCAGGCATCCGCGATCACGTGTTCGGCGGTTGGAGCGATCCGGACCAATCTTTGGAGCTCTGTTACTTCGACACGACCCAGGCGCGACAGCCTTCACGACCAACGTGCGCCTCGTCCGCTCTCACCATCGCGCACATACCCTTACATCCCATATAACGCCCTCGACCATCATTTTCGAACGCCAACATGGAGGCCTCACGAGGACCCCCGCGGGTCAAGAACAAGGCCGCGGCGGCTGTCCAGATCTCTGCCGAACAATTGTTGAGGGAAGCCGTCGACCGTCAAGATGAGAAGCTCAAGGCGCCAACGCAGCGCTTCGCCGACATCGAGGAGCTGCATGAGTTCCAGGGGAGGAAGAGGAAGGAGTTTGAGGACTATGTGCGGCGGAACCGCATCAACATGAACAACTGGATGCGCTATGCTTCCTGGGAGCTGGAGCAGAAGGAATTCCGACGTGCCCGCTCCATCTTCGAACGAGCTCTCGATGTCGACTCAACCTCCGTCCCGTTATGGCTGCGATACATTGAGAGTGAGATGAAGCATCGCAACGTCCAGCATGCCCGTAACCTTCTCGACCGCGCCGTTACCATTCTTCCGCGAGTCGACAAGCTATGGTACAAGTATGTCTACATGGAGGAGACGCTAGGCAACATCGACGGTGCCCGCTCGGTCTTCGAACGCTGGATGCAGTGGGAGCCTGAGGAGGCGGCATGGAGCTCATACATCAAGTTGGAGAAGAGACACGGCGAATTTGAGAGATGCCGGGCAATCTTCGAGCGCTTTACTGTCGTTCATCCGGAACCCAAGAACTGGATCAAATGGGCCAAGTTTGAGGAGGAGAACGGCACCAGCGACCTCGTGCGCGATGTCTACGGTACCGCCGTCACAACACTTGGAGATGATTTTATGGATGAGAAGCTTTTCATGGCATACGCCAAGTTTGAAGCGAGGCTGAAAGAATTGGAACGTGCGCGAGCCATCTACAAGTTCGCCCTGGATCGTATGCCACGATCGAAATCGGTCAACCTACACAAAGCCTTCACAACCTTTGAGAAGCAGTACGGAGACCGAGACGGTATTGAAGACGTGATTCTGTCGAAACGACGTGTACACTACGAAGAGCAAATCAAGGAGAACCCCAAGAACTACGACAGCTGGATCGATTTCGCTCGGCTGGAAGAGACATCTGGAAACCCCGACCGAGTCCGAGACATTTACGAGCGAGCGATTGCCCAGATACCACCCACACAGGAGAAGCGCCACTGGAGGCGGTACATATACCTCTGGCTGTTCTACGCAGTCTGGGAGGAGACAGTATCGCACGACATCGAGCGAACCCGTCAAATATACCAAGAGTGCATACGTTTGCTGCCACACAAGCGCTTCACGTTCGCCAAAGTATGGCTGGCTTTTGCTCATTTCCTTGTGCGACAAGGAGAGCTCACCGCTGCACGCAAGCTGCTGGGTCAAAGTTTGGGCATGTGTCCAAAGGACAAGCTCTTCAAGGGCTACATCGAACTGGAGATGAAGCTCTTCGAGTTCAACCGCTGTCGGCAGCTTTACACCAAGTACATCGAGTGGAACGGCTCAAACTGCCACACATGGATCAACTTCGCCAACCTGGAGCGTGGTCTCGATGATCTCGACCGTGCGCGGAGCATCTTCGAAATCGCCGTCGACACGCAAGAAATGGACATGCCGGAAGTTCTATGGAAAGCATACATCGATTTCGAAGAAGAAGAAGGCGAATACGGCCGCACACGTGCACTATATGAGCGCCTCCTCGAAAAGACCGACCACGTCAAAGTCTGGTTGTCCTACGCGCAATTCGAACTCGGCGTACCCGACGAGACCACCCCCGAAGACGACGAAACAATCAGCGAGCTCGCCAAATCCCGCGCTCGCGAGGTCTTCACCCGCGCGCACACTAGACTCAAGGAGAAGGACCTCAAGGAAGACCGCGTGGCGCTCCTCAGCGCCTGGAAGGCATTCGAAGATGTTCACGGAACAACAGAGGACAAGGACAAGATCGAGAAACAGATGCCCCGCAAGGTCAAGAAGAGGAGAAAGTTGGACGACGACAGCTTCGAGGAATACGTCGATTACGTTTTCCCGGCCGACGACGAGAGTGCGGCGAAGTTGGCGAAGCTTATGGCGAATGCGCAGAGGTGGAAGATGGCGCAGGCTGCAAAGGCGGCTGCAGAAGAGAATGGGGATGGTGCGGACGGCAACGGCGAGTGAGGAGATTTGTGGTGTTTGGTTTGGACTGTGTGCGTAAAGTAGAGGGAATCAACATTGCATGCAGGTCCACAGTTATCATCTACTTCGTCATGTTAAGAATGACTCAATATACAATGAATCTGGTATGCATCTCTCGAAGATTTCCAGTTTCAAAAGCGTTGCCCTAATCATTTGGCTCCATCATGCAGGCGTAGTGCCAATGACGTCGTGTAGCTCCAATGGGAATTGCCTCGGCATCTTCCCCGGATTCTGCAACCTCCGCATCGAACTCCGCAAACTCTACTACCCATTTGACAAACACACAACACTCGCAACTGTTGAATCTGTATCAAAACGCTACAGTAGACTTCACAAACATCTTTAAAACTCTAAAAGAAGCCTCCACGATGCCAACCGCAGTCGCAAAGGTCCAGCGGCAGGGAATGAGCAAAGAGCTCTCCGAACCTCTACCCGAGCCGGAGTCTTTCGAAGGATTGAAGGGAGTCAGGGAGATCGCGGGGGACCTGGGTAATCAGTGAGTACGGAGATGGTCCGTGAAGCTGTAATTGAACGCGCTTGTGCTAATGGTAAGCAGACGCGTCAAGGACAAGGTCATCATCGTTACCGGTATGCTCAATCTCCCTGGCACATCAAATATGCAGGGCATGTCTAACAGCATAACCAGGCGCGAACTCAGAGATAGGCATCGGCCGCGCAAGCGCACATCAATTCGCGCGCAACGGCGCCCGCGCAATCTACGTCTGCGACTTCGCCGACAACCACCTCGAGACACACAAGCGCCAACTCAACACCCTATACCCCTCCACCGACATTCATATCCGGCAATTCGATGCCGCAGACGAATCATCCGTACAAAAGGTCTGCCAAGAAGCTCTAGACACCTACGGCCGTCTCGATGTCTTCTTCGCCAACGCAGGAATCTCATCCGGCAAAGTATTCTGGGAAGAGTCAACAGAAGGCTTCATGAACGTCCTGCGCACAAACGCTCTATCCGTCTTCCTCGCCGCAAAGCACGCATCGCGCGCTATGCTCAAGACCTCGGATGAGAAGCCATACCCAAAGGGCAGCATCATCGCCACAGCAAGCGTAGCAGGTCTCCGCTCCAACGCCGGGCCCACAGACTACTCCGCCTCCAAAGCCGCAGTCATCAGTCTCATGCAGACGTGTGCATACCAACTCGCCGGCTCAGGCATCAGGTGCAACGCCGTCTGCCCTGGGCTGATCGAAACGGGGATGACCAGGGTCACGTACGACGCGGCGAGGAAGAGGGGTAGCGAGAAGAAGATTGGTCAGTTGAACCCGCTGCAAAGAGGAGGGCAGCCGGATGAGATTGCGAGGGCGGTGCTGTTCCTGGCTAGTGATGAGGCTAGCTATGTCAATGCGCAGGCTTGGGCTGTGGATGGGGGGTTGAGCGGGGGACTGCCTTTTGTACCGGGGAAGTTGGCGTAGATCTGGAAAGAGTGCGCGAGGGTCCTGGCACGAGAAATTGTGGCAGTGATCTATGTCTGAAGGTATCATCGCGATTTACGTTGAGAGAAATCGCGATGATTCCTTCAGACATAGATCACTGACACAATCATGCGATACCTGGGTGAAATCGGGAAATATTACGCAGGCTCCTCGTGCCAGTATACTCGAAACTCGTTACCGACATGCGCATTATTGGCTGTAGACTGTTTCTGTTCACGTGTCGTTACACTATCAAAACCCTTCGTTTATGGCTCAGCCAGCCAAGACCCTGTGCTTACGAGAACATATCCAACGACTAGCCGCGACGTCCCTGGATCCATAGTATGCAGGTACCATCCAGTCCCAACAAAACAAAAAGCGTGGTATTAGTATGATGTATCCGAACCATGGTTTGGCTCAGGGTAACCGAAAGCATTTGCACATGATAATTCGGACCCTTTCTCCCCCCCATCTTCTTGCACTTCATCTCATTTACTTGTTCATCTCGGACGTTCAAGGAATAATAAGGCATTCAGCTCCAATAAGACACCTTTACCCGACAATACTACTCACCAGCGTCGAAATGGCGGAGATACCAAGCATGGTCCCAGAAGTCCCGAGCATGATCCAAGACTCCTCCTCCGATCCCCCACCGTTCGCACCCTCACGCCGAGTCAATGTTCCCGCTCCCCGGTCACCATCACAACCAGCCCCAACCATCTACCTCAGAGGCTTCAACTGCGTTGCTAGCGATCCAGAGTACCACCTCGCACGCAGTGTGACTGGAAACGTGCAGCCGTACTGGTTTGAAGAAACGCGGAACCCCGCAGTCCACTATGGCCCCTCTCGGCGACAGAGAAGAGAAAACGCCACGCGACGAGCTGGTCAGGTCGAAGACACTTATCTCGTCATTCCCAACACCGAGGAAGCTAAGCAGTCGGACAACAATAAGATGCAGCGAGAAGAAGCGAAAGCAGCATTCCTGGAAGCCATGTGGCCAACGATCCGCGACGAATACCTCGCCATGTTCAATCTAACTAGCCTCGCACCCAAGCAGGAGGAACGGATGAAGACTGATACAATGGTGTTTCTGGAGGAGGAGTGGAATATTCTGGAGGAAGAGCGTAGGGCTGAGACTGAGAAGCAAGAGGAGACGGAGCAGCAGGGAAAGCCTATCGTTCGCTTGCCGGTTCGCAATGTTTCGGATGGGAAGGGAGCGTCGGAGAAGAAGTTCAAGATGAAGGGGAAGGGGAAGGGGATGGTAAAGGTGAAAGATGGAAGTGGGGCGGAGACGAAAGGAGAGAAGAAGGGGAGTATTTCGCAGAGGCTTAGGAAGGTTTTGGGGATGACTGCGAGGCCGACAGTGGTGAAGGATGGGGTTGTTGCGCCGCCTTTTCATCCGGTATTGTGAGGGCGGTTTGATGTCGAAGTTCGATACGATACGAATTACGGTACTATAGTGGCAGCCAGGGCACAGTATCTGGCTGGAGCACGTCGCTAGAGATGAAGGTGGCAGTTTGTGGACTCTATAATCGATAAGGCCAATTCATCTACTTCCTCCCATGGTACTGCAGCGATGCCGAGGAGGCGAGCCACTCACAACTTCCGAGTTGCATATTACACCCATTTGACTAGATCCTCTTTAACAATGAGTATCATTATTTCAAGAACTGAGCAGCCAAATGTGTGCAAACTTCGCTTGATAGTGACGTATCTCGCGAAGCACGTTGTGCGCAAGTGCTCTTTCTCCGACACGCGAAACTGCCTTCCAAATTCACCACTCCCCGTGACCATCTCAATCCACATTCACCACAACAACCAACTCCGCCGCCACATTCGCATTTGGCCGACTCTCACTTTGAGCTGTGACCCCGCGAATATTCTTACCTTGAGCCTCTCTCACTTTTGCGCCTACCAATTTCTCCCCCACACACAGGCTCACCACGACCACCACAACAGCCATGGAGAGTCGCCAACCACCACCCGAGCGCTCCAGCTCAAACGACTACATCGACGAGACACAATTGTCGTTCAACAAGCTTGAGGCGCAGAGATGGGATCGCGCGTTGGAGAGCTCACAGCGCGCACTCAACCAGTCGATGAACTTGCCCTCTTTTCAGGACCTTTGCAACTACAGCGCACCTATGTTGAACCACAGCCTTCAAGAGACTCAAGATTCCCCCGAAAGCACCATGCGAGATGGCGGAGGCGGCAGCGCTTTCCAGTCACCTGCCAGCGATACTACTGTCAAGTTGAGTAACGTCTACAAGGATCCCGAGGACGGCAGTGCGTATACCTTCTTTCCGACGCCTTTCACCGTCGCCGCGACATCAGAGACGGGTGCTACAAATGGCTCTGCGTCTTCAGGTTCTATCTCACCATTGTCTCAGCGCCAGTCCTCCGCCCGCGTCGCGGTCGAGTCACCGTTTCGACCTGAGTTCGGCGGTCCAGTCCAGAATCCCGCCAGTCAGGGTATATCGTGGTCTCCTGCGCAGCTACAGAAAGAGATTTCACGAAACTCGGACAACTTCTATCCCCACCCCAGCATAGCCAAGACTCATGTTCCCTCCCGCCCGCAGTCAACATTCCCCATTCCACGAAACATGCCTTTCGAGGAGATGATCGTACCGCGCGGCCCGAATCTGCATCAGCGAAGGCTCGATGCTAGAGTATCAAGCTCACCGGGTATACCGTCACCGCTGGGTCCTGGACGCATGCGAGAGCAGCTCCACGAGGGAGACCTTGAAGATGTGTCGCTCTCACCGGTCCCGAACGGACGTCTCCACACGAGCGATCAGATGAAGTACGGAAAGCACCACTCAAGCAACAAGGACACGAAGAACGTCTGGCAGAACACCCCGTCTCCACATTCACCTACAGTGCAGCGCTACGCATCCAGCGGCTCGATCGACTCGCCCATGTTCGACGTATACCCGCGCAGTGCTGAGATAGACGAAGAAGGAAACTTGACACTGGGTGGTTCGCCGTACAGTACCGGTTCTGGACATGCGCGCAAGCACACTGATCCTTTCGTTGACCATAAGCCGTTTCAAGTCAGCACGGGGTCTACGACTCGCATGTGTGGGGTTGGTGCGCCTGGTTGGCCTGTCCCACCGGCTAGCACTCGCCCGCCGTCTATCCACCCTGGGTTTTATGGAGGTCGTCGGCCAGCTCCCCAGAACCCGGCTGGCATTCAGATGTGTGGAAGTAACAGTGGGATTAGCTGGGATCCCAAATCTCCGGAGTTCGTGGGCATGGTATCTGCTGATCGCCTACGTGGTAGTAGCAGTGGCTTCGACACCGGATCTCAGTCGTTCAACCGCCCGCCGTTTGTTGATGTTCGAACATGTGGAACTACGCCTTTCGATCGCCCGTCAAGTGTCATTGTGTGTGAAGCTCCTCTAGCCACACCATCGCCATCTGAGACTCGCATGAGCAGCGGTTTCAAGCCCTTCAAGCCCTCACTTCCCTTTGGGCCCATCGTACCCTCATCTCAGTCGTTCGGCCAACCGCTTCGTACATCTTCCACCCCAACATGGCCCACCTCCGCGCCCGCAACATCCGGCTTCGCCACCCCAGCCTCGACAGAAGACCCTCACTCCGCACGTGAACCAACCTTCCAAGCCCGTCTACCCCTCCGCTCAAACCTACCCATCCCACCTCCCCCGCTCTCCTCCATGCAAGGTCAGTACGAACATTCTCCCGAAGCCCGCGCCCGTCTCGACGCCCAGAAGCCCATCCGCTCAGCCTGGATCCGCTCCGAAGCGTCCAAGATAGCTCACCTAGCAAAACTCCGCCACGCAATGGAGAAGCGGTATTTGGAAACCCGTTCCGACGCAGACTACGCAGCTTGGCAAACTCTCCAAACCGCTTATGAGGATGCTACGGACCTGGAGAAGAGGCAGGAAGAGAGGCGAAACTTGTTTCTTAGAGAGAAGAAGATGCAGGCTTTGAAGACTGATGTTGTTGGGGATATGTCTGCTGCTGCGAGTCGTGGTGGTATTAAGGTGGAGGGGGAGGGAGAGGAGAAGTTGCTCGGGTATAAGATGGCGCTTATGGAGCGTGTGTGTGCGGAGGTTAAGCCTGATGGAGAGGAGGAGGCTATTACGGGCGAGATGTTGGCGACGTTGAGTAAGGAGGAGAAGAAGGCTATAAGGAAGCTGCTTGTTGGTCGTATGGAGCGGAAGGCTTGATTGATGGTGGTGGTCTGGTCGTCGAGCTTTGAACAGGAGTGGGGCGGACCAAGAGCGGGATGGGGAGGTTGAGATCTTGTGTGTAGACGAGAACTTGCCACCAAGAAATGAAACGATGTATACATCACCTACAAATCTCTATGCCGCACCACCGGCCATGATCTTCTTCCCCTTGACACTCTTCTGCTCCATACCCAGACTAACAAAGAACGCCACACTACTCGTCGCAATCGCCAATATGAAAGCCGTGACGATCGCGTTGTTGTACCCAAGCAACACTCCCGGTAGCAGATCCTCAGGCACAACATTCCTCAAATTCGTCGCCCCAGCATTCGCCACGATGCGCGCATCAAACCCCGGCGCATACCTCGGCACCTCCTTCGCCAACGTATTAACAAAGATATTTTGCGCCACAGAAATCGAAAGCGCGCCCCCCAGCGAATTAAAAAACATGACGCAAGCATTCGCCGTAGGCATATCCGTCTCGTTCGTAACAACCTGCACAGCGACGAACGGGATTTGCACACCGGCTCCTGCGCCGATGCCCGCGAGGATCTGGTAGCCGATCCATTGGCCCGGGGGGGAATGGACGGTGAGGGTATAGAGCATGCCGGCGCCGATGGCGAAGATGGCGCTGCCGAACCACATGAAAGGGGCGTACCAGCCGACGAGGGTGATGAGGCCGCCGATTACGATGGAGGACACGGTTATGCTGACGAGGTAGGCGATGGTGCGGATGCCGGATTCTTCGGCGGAGGTGCCTTTGATGGCTTGGAAGTAGAAGGGGAGGTAGAATATGTGGCTGGTTGGGTGTTAGGGGATAGCTTGTAGGAGTCGATGATGGATGGGGGTAGGACTTACGTGTACAGAGCCATTGATAGGAGTGTTGAATATAAGCAACTTACCAGCACTGTTCGCTGCGTAAACACGCGAACGGGTATCGTTGCCCGATCTCCCTTGCGCATCTGCAAGCCGATGAAGACAGAGAGTAGCAGTCCGAAGCCTAGTAATGTCCCCCAAACCTTCGAGTCACTCCACGCGTAACTGAACCCACCCCACTGCAGACACAACAGCAAACAAACAATCGCACAGATCAAGAACACAGCCCCCACGATGTCAATATTCTTCAGCCGCTGCCTCACCGGTAGATGCGAGTACATCCTCTTCGGATTCGTAAAAAAGAAGAACACGACACCCAGGCTCACAGCACCAAACGGAAGGTTAATCCAAAAGCACCATCTCCAGCTTGCTCGATCCGTAAGCGCACCACCAAGGATAGGCCCAACAACCGACGCAATACCAAACATACTCGACAGCGCCGCAATATAAATAGCCCTCTTCCTCAACGGCACCGAGAACCCGATAATCGTCATCCCCCCCGAATACAACGCCGCCGCCCCCGCACCCGCAACCGCCCTCCCCACAATAAACATCGCCGAACTAGTCGCTGCGGCGCAAATCACACTGCCCACCTCAAACAGGATCAAAGCAGACAGATACGTATACTTTACGTCGAAGTACGTGTACACTTTCCCGAAAGAAGGTTGCAAAGATGTTGTGGTGAGGAGGTAGGAGGATCCGTACCAGCCTACGTCTTCGAGGCTGTTGAAGACGGTGGTTATGCGCGGGATTGCGGTTGCGATGATGGTGTTGTCGAGGGCGATTACGAAGGTGGTTAGGCAGAGGCCGAGGGTTAGGATGGCGAGTTTGGGGCCGGAGAGGTATTGTGATTCGGAGGAGGGGGTGGTGTCTTCGGGGGTTGTGTCATCGGCGGTCTTTTCCTTTGCGATGACTTCTGCTGTGCTCTTCTCTTTATCTGGGTGTTCGGGGTCGACGACGGTGTTTGGTGATGATACTGGGGGTGGCGTGGTCTTTTCTGGATCGCGGGTATGTGTCTGGTCGGTCGTGTCATCATTCGCGGACGCATTCTCGAAATGCTCCTTTGGTTCTTCCAATCTCGGTTCAGGACGTTCAGGTACTTGTGCAGTCTCATCAATCGTGCTTGCGCCATCCGCCATCTTCGTAGTATCGGTCGCCTGCATGCCGGCAGCGGGCCCGGCTCAACACAGGGAGGACTTGCCGTCTGCGGGCCGCTGTAAACTATGTGGAACCTGTCAACGGGTATCTAGTGTATCGAATCAAACAATTTCGCGGCAGTGGCATGTAAGTCGCACAGAATCCTTCGCCGTCGCAGAGTGAGGCGAATGCAGCAAGGAGCAGAGGCTTCGAAAAGAAGCATCAGCGCAAACCTTTTGTTTCCATACACAATCCATGATCACGCGCCGCAATCAAGGTGCAACCCCCCGAGCCGTGCGACCGTATTCTGTACGGTAATTGGGATGTCAGATGGGCATCTGCAACCGAGAACGTGAGTTGGGGCGCGGGACGTTTGGATGCCGAGGGGAGTGCGACCAATGGAAAAATTGGCAGTAATTATCCTTGTGTGAATGATCACCGTTGGACTCGGTTGGGATTGCAGGTTGCAGATTGTAGAGGCCGTTTGCAGAGTTAGTTGGATACGTCTTCGTGAGCTGTTGTTGGTCGTTCGAGACGATTGCGTGATGCGATAATATCTCGCTAGAGGTGCGTGGCGCATGCCTATTAGCAATACAGCACGGGCAACTACAATGCTATTATAGTAAGGAATGAGCAACGCTGCCGTCGCAGTCGCGGTTGTGCTGTCTCGCGACTTCCGTTATCCTCGGCTAAACACCCCGACCATGACGATCGCCCACCAAAAAGTCTAGAGCATCCTCGAATCCGAACGCGAGCATGTGTAAAGGAACCCTTGTCTTGGAAGGTATCCGCGAACGTAGATCTGCCCTCGGGTCGCTGTGGGTATCGTGGTGGGCGTGATCAGCCCGGATGGTGGGGTAGCTAACCTGCGTGCTAGGGCTTTCCTTTTGCGAGAGGAGGTGCTTCAAGCTTCATCCTTGACAGTTTGGAGAGAGCGCTGCGGGCCGTTTCGCTCCCGTAAGTGTGCCATTGGAGGACGTCACGTTGGGATGGAAGTTGAAAAGATGGTTATGAATGTTTGTATATTGTAAGTCTAATGGTTGCATTGTATGTGGCTGGAGGGAGTAATGGGGAAGATGTGGGATACGTGTGAGCGTAAAGCATGGGTAGGCTAAGTAAAGATCCTCCTTCTATAATTCGTCTAGCCCGGACATACAGCACAAGCCGTCTCGACCTTGACGGTAGCGAGGATTACGCCGTCGTGGCCGCGTGCGCACTTTCGCTGCGAGATCTGGCCCTTGGGACACATTTGCTGGAAGATCATCTGGGTGTGTCCGCACTTGTGGGAGTAGGCGTGGTAGAAACACATTGTGACTTCGTGTTGGGCGTGACGTTGGTAATGACCGTGAAGTTAGATAGCCTCGTTGTATGGTGGATGAGATGGTGTGGCTCAAAGTCTATTTCATAGTCAGCAACGGTACTCTTCCAAAGTACACTGTCACCTCGGCGAGCTCCTGTCGTGTGTCTTACCTTGGATAGAGTTTGGGTCGGACAATGAAGGAGTAAAAGAACGTATGCTGAGATGATCGACAGCGTGATACTGTTGGAAGGAAGGTATTGGATAAGAACGCTCGATAGAAGTCCAGATGACCGATGTTGTGACCATCTCTCTATCGTATGCCTCAGCTCTTATACTACCACGTATGCGTTACTAGATTCATGATTGCATGATTGCTGTCCATTGCTCGAGTTGCGCGGTTTGACATCCGCGAGCAACCAAGCAATTAGAGACTCATCCGTCTGGTTGAACAACCACGGCAAGGCGTTTCGAAGACTAAGCGGATGCCAGTCCCGCAATGGTAACTTCCCAAGATGGTTCACGGCTTACCTTCGACTGCTGGCATTGAGGTTGTACTAAGCCATTTGATGAGAAATGTGAGCATTCAACAAGTGCAGTCCGCTCCTCCGCTGAAGATGCTGCGCCAGCGTCGTCGCACAATCAATGACGGGCGGCTCCGGATAGGCGAACATGAAGCAACTGTTTGGCTTACGCAAGTCCCACGAACCCATACTCGCCGGGAGACAGCCATACTAAGAGATGACCAAACATCAAATCTGACAATAGCGAGATTTGCTCTTCTGAACGGTACCACGGGGGCGACCATCATGGTAGTTTGCTTGATTTGGGGACCGGAAAATCGCCGCACTTGTTCATGTTTCCCTCAAACCCGCCGTACCGTCGGAAATCAACCGACGTTCCTTGCGACGTTTGGTTCCGTTGAAGTTTGCGCGATCGTCGTCGTGATTTGCGGCCACCTTGCCTCGGCATGTCCCGGTCACACGGTGCTGGAATTTCGAGCGTTTCTACCAAGTTGCGGAGCTGAAAGCTCAGACACACAATCTAGTGCCGTCATGGTCGTAAATCAAGAAGGCTGGCTATCAGTAGTGCTCTTAGCTGCCGACGACATTAGGCCAGCATTTTCGAAATTCCAGCCAATGAGCATGCGGCCTCACCGCCAATTCGTGTGGAGACTTTCGATGCAGATACGCCGCCAGATCCCGCAGATGACGAGACGATAGCTCGGATCTATCAATGAATGCTAGTTTCTTGGATGTAAAGATGGTGGGTAGGGTTCCCAATGGAGGTACCGGGTCCATGTCGCCTTCGAGGCTGGGAGTCGCAGAGAGATCCACTCGGGCATATTGCTAAGCCTGCAGGATACATGTTGACATGCCAGGGACGCCCGTCTACATCAGTGTCTCGTCAGCATGCATCGTGCTAGTCCTCACCGTGGGGTAGAGGGCCCGAGTGACAACGCAAGCGCATGCTGTCCGTGGCGGAGTTGGAAGCGCCATGGTTAGGGCTGTCGAAGCGTCTCTTGCGGCAGACGGACAAGTAGCATGATGGCATACTGCACCCCACCCAGCCGTGGAACGATGCGCTGGCAAACGGTGTGGTTCATCTGAGACTGCAGGCGAGGCACAGGCGTGCATGGGCGCGTTGGCGAGGCTCTCAAGCGGGCGTGTTGGAGAGGCGTTGACGTCGAGCAGGAGAATAAGTGAAGGCAGCTCTAGCCTGCGTGCCAGCTGGCAGCGCCCCGTCTGAACTATTAACGGCAAAAAGGACATGCAGCGACGTGAGCAGTTTAGCGGAGGAGTTCGACGCTTGACACGTAGCCCACCATAGCTCGCCTGTCTGCAGATTGACGCAGGAGCTGCACCTGCGTCTCCAGCAGGCCGGATAGAGTGCGCGGGTTACTACTAGCATGCGTTTCCTCAGCGTTCGCCCTGCCATTTCCTTTTTGCGCCGTTGGTGAAGTTGTCATTTTCGCATCGCGACGGCCGCCCGCTCCTCAACACCAGGCCGAGCGCAAGGGTCTGCGCATCACCAGAAGACGCCCCGCCGCCTGCCCTGAGCGCGATCGAACGGCTATCCGAGTATCTCGAGGCATTGCAAGTGTGCGCGGCCCAGTTTCGCTTCCTCGGCGTCCCAAACAGCTGCACTGACCGCTGCCACACCGCCTGCCGACGTCACGGCCCTTAAGACGGTCGCATTGCCTCGTGCGCGCTGGACGAGGAAAGCTGGCTTGGTCGCCATGAATGCGCTGTCCACGGCCTCGCACCCTCAACATCCACCGCGCAATTGACGTCTGACGTCTGCTAGCCTGTCGCAAAAGGGTCTCGCAGCGCCTCACCTCTTGCGCCCGCCCATTGGCTCCGCCATCACCCCCGCCGTCGAATAAGAGACCGGCACTCGCCCTAACCATCGACACCGTCTCGCCCTATCCGTTTCCAGATATCCCGATCGAGGTGAGCCGTTGCTGCTTCCCATGATCTGGGAGCAAGACTGACAGTTGGCCACCTGGGCAGACAGTTCATCACTCGTGGCGCACCCACGACCTTCTTCCACCGCTTCATCTTTCTGCGCCCAGCATTCTTCACCAACGTATATCTGTACGCTGTGTCATGATATTCGCCTCCATCGCAATCGCCTAATTCAACAAATCTCCGAGTAGCGCTTTCCCACTTGGGCCATCACGAGAATCGACCTTCACCCGCGCAAGGGTCGCGCACGGACATCGCGTCGTCTACCGAAACACATCAATTGGCCAGCACGCGCTGCACCGGTGTCAGAGCCTCATCTCCAGCGCGGCATCAGCGCGCGGTGTCATCGGTCAGCCTGGGCCGGGCTGCACTGTGTCTATCTCCAGAGGATACAGCGCAACGGTCCGGGTTGGCGGTTAAGGTTAGTGCTCCATGAGTCGCGCATTACCATTCACTTCACGATCAACCTGTACTTGGCGCAAGCATTCATCTGAGTCCTTTCCATTGCCAAACCCATTACCAATCCGCTTTTCCCCCTGTTGCATCTCAGCTTTGACTTACGAACCATCCAGACTACATCACTGAACCATGGCATCTCTGGACTTTGATCAGAAGTTCCTTGGTCGGATAGCCAAGCAGACTGAAGAAACAAGTCCCTTCCTGTCCAGCGCTCTCTATCAGATTCTGGGTCTATCAGTTCTGCTAGCTCGGAGACTCATCCGCGCCCGGAAGCTTCGCAAGCTGGACACCAGTCGAGACACTCCCTCGCTCTCGGCCTATCAACATATCCTCTGGATGTCTCGAGAGGGACTCTCTATACTCGAGCTATACGTGCTGCCCTATGCGCAGGACAACCAGCATGGGCCAGAGTGCAGAGTGTTGAGCGTCAAGTTGCGCGCGAGCTTCTACCACATCTTCTGCCTCTTCCACAACCAACCGCCTGTCACGACAATGAACATGACAAGCACTGATCCTCGCAACCCAGCTCTTCCCCCTTTACCAATATCACCACCAAAGCATAGTAATGGACATGGCCGCAAGACCGACCCCCCGGGTTTGTCACCCCCTTCGAAGCGCGCAGGCAAACAACCAGCATTACGCGAACCCATCGACTCCATCGTGTCCGAGACATCCTTCGTCACGAATCCTTATGCAGCAGGAGGGCCAGTCGGAACACCATCACCGGGACCGACGATCAACGCGCCTCCGGGCCTCAACCCGGTTCCCATTCCGCAGCCTTCCTCCTTCATACTCCCACCCC